ATCTTGCAACACATGGCATGGCGTGGAGGAAAATCAATTGATTTAGAGCATTTTGTTAGAATAACGTCCTTTTGCATCTATTATTTATTTATTTTTCAGGAGTATTTTACATGATAGAGATATCAGGATTTTGGCCTAACCGTACTCCATAGGAACCACAGCAGGCCAGACCAGTCTGGTGGCTTGCCAATTACAGCTCGGTTTGATGGGCCAGTCACAGCGCCCTATTTGTTAGGTGGGCCAATCATAGTACTCTATTGGTTTTGTGGGCTAGACACCATGCTCTCTGTTTGCTCTCTATGTTTGGTGGGTCAGTCACAGCACTCTATTGGTTTGGTTGGCAAATCAGCTTTGGACAATTTAGACTTGGGCTTTTCTTTGAGACAAAAGTAGATAGAGGTACTCAAGTCCTTTAATTAGAAAAAATATGAATTTGCGTATTCTTCGACATTGTACGGCAGACTGCCCTGTTGACTGACATCCGTAGCGGTATGTCATGTTTGTTGTCCAATAGCATGTGGAGACAATTGGAAAGACAACTGTAGATCCCACTCCATGACTGAGATCCATCTATGGGTCATGGCCAGACTTTATATTCACATATATATGATGGCTTGCCAGGCTAAGGAGGGCCTGGATTGTTTATTCCTTGGATTGTTTTGATATCAATTTTGCCTTGCAGAAAGTGGTTTGCCAGTGTCCTGGTCAGACCCTTTTGATTCTAACTCATTTGACTTTTGATAAACAGACTAAAATAAAAGAAAGGTTGAACAGTCAGTGTTAAATCTTTTCTACAATTTACTTTTACTATAAAATATGCCTGAAAAAGTACAAATAAATGCATATTGCATGGCTTGACCCTTGCCTGTCTTGTGCACATCATGAGTGAGGAAAGCCGGCTGTAGGTTGTGTTCATCCAAAGCACATTCATGTTTGATCTCGGAACGGCTGGGTGGAGACTCCGAGGTCTATTGGGGGAATTCACACTATCTTGCTTTAGAGGTGGTCGTGCTTGAAATCTCCATGCCTGGATAAACCCCATCAAAAGCGCATTAGCCATCTATTCTCCCACCCCTCCCTCTCCTCAACCTCAATGCCCCTCCTTCTCCCTCTATTTAACCCCCCCACTTTCCTCCTACTACCTCCCCCACCACCATCGTATAATAGTATCTGGCCGGGCCACGCGGCTTGCTGACACACAGTCAGGCAAAAGCGGAGACATGATGAATTGCTCCCTGTTGGTGTTATCCATGATGATAATTATTAATTTTCCCCCTCTCTTCCCAGAGAATAGGGGCTGGAGAGCTGCTGTGTTGCACAGCCTCCTCTGTAGGCCGTCAGAAAGCCTGCTGTCATCACTTATCATAGACAGAGCTGAGGCCCAAGGCTAAACACTGATGAAAATGAAATGCATTCATTCTGATTCTGATTTACCCCTTTTCCTGTGCATGTTCCTGTGTGTGTGTGTGTGTGTGTGTGCGTGCGTGCGTGCGTGCGTACGTGCGTGCGTGCTCACACTTTTGTCTTACCCCTTTCTTTTGCCGTCATCTCTTTTCCTTTCTTACCCACTCCCATTTGCCCCTAACTACTTAGTGATACCAGACTTTTCAAGTATAAGGTTATTTACCCTTTCATTGTTATTTTTATTTTTTATTTATTTATGTTTTTTCTGATATTTGGCACTTCCAAAAAGTGAAAAGCAAAACATAAAACAGATGGAAAGAATGTACAATGTCTGTTTATAAAAAGGGAGACAAGTTATCCTTAATTACACAAATCTCCTTAGTGGACACATTTAGTCTAATATTAATCCTTCTGAGCTCTGTCAGGCCTAACATATATAACACCATGGTTATGTAAGGTGATGAAGGTTAACACTCATTACAGTTATTAGTTATTGTTGCAACTATAAAAGCAAAACTACAAAAGTTCTGTTGAACTTTTGTGCTCACTCCTCACCCCTGCCACATGGACCCAAGGGATAAACCATCAACCCTGCTCAATGGTCAACTTTCCTCGCGGGGTCACCCATTAGGACAGTGGGAGGGTTAAAATAATTTGAAACTCAGTAATTTTCTACCTCATCGTCCACATTAAGTACTTGTCCTCACAGTTTGAGGGATCAGACAAAGTTATGGAAATGGCCCTTCATTTTGTTAGAGGACTTTCTTTTATCTTGTTAAAAAGCTTCTAATTAACAAAGTCCATTTTGTTTTCAGTCTTTAAAGTAAGTTTGAATCTCTTCACTCCTTTCAATTATAAATTCAAAAATCTCCCAAATCTTTTCAGATTACTCTGAAAGCTCTGATAAATGTCATGTCCCTTTTTCAGTCTTTTAACATGTTAAAAGCTGCTGATTGGATAGATTTGATGCAGCTCCTATTAAGTTTATGTCATCAGGGTCTTTATGGCTTGTCTGAGCACTTCTACATCATCTGTATTTAATACCTCAGGCCGTTATATTTCTTTTCTTGGATGTGATCCTAATACATATCAAGGGGCCAAAGTCTTTATCTGGCTTTCCATTTGAAAGTTAAACTCTGAAGCCAAAATTTAAATTGACCATATTGGCTGTCATTCGAAACTTACACAACATAAAAATGACAATCAATCTAGCTTACGAGGCGTTGTCATGAGCGAGGCGCGTTGAGGATGATCTCTGTCTCTCTGAGGGAGGTGAATCTGCTCTGCCTGATGAGTAATTATGGCTAATTTCCTAATTACCCCAGCAACGAGCTTCTCTGTAGTGTTCATTAAAAGCCATAATTGCATTGGGTTGACATGCTCTTTTATCCACTTTGGGTCAGTTTCTGGCAGCTTAGCAGTGAGCTTGCAGTGCTGCCCCTGCTTGTCTCAGTCGATAAAGGTTGATTGAAGCAGTGTGGAGTGTTGAACACAGCTTCTGATGGTGCTGGGTTTATTGAAGTTGCATGTGTTTCTTGTAGTTTGTTAAATGCGCTATGGGAAAATCCTTTAGATTATTTTGACACAGATTTGGCAAGAAGGGTTGCATGGGAGGTATCTTCTCCAAGGCATACAGACCAACTAAACATATGTTTAAAAGGAACATCTGCTGCAAGATGGACTTTGTTACAGATTGTTTACTTTTCAGATGTGTGTCTTCCTTATTTCTGTTTTCCTGTCTTTACAGCTTTCTTTCCCTCTTGGCTGCCTCCTGTTCTGCTCTTTTCCTGTCTTGCATTGATTTGGTTCTTCTTTGTCTCAGAGAACTGGCCTCCAAGTTGTCAGCTGCATCAGGATTAAAAGCCATTAGTTCTGCACCATTGCCACTACAAGTGTGCTCTTGAGATTGATAGAGTGGCCCTCCTCTTTCAGTGGGGGCAGAAATGGGAGACAAACAAACCTGGGGGGGAAGGTTTCTACCTCACAAATCTGACAACTGACACCCAAAGGCACTCCATCCTTGGACTTTCCGTCAATTTGTTTTAGCAGTGTGAATTCACATAAATGCGTTTGTAGCTCAGCAGGTCATCAAAATCAGAACCTAATGAAAGTTCCATATTTCCACACAGCCTTTCAGTGAGGTGAATCGTGCAAACAGAAATAAGGTTATCATTTCTGGTAGGACCCAAAGACAAGATCTAATGAAATCCCCACGTATCAGAGCAGCTCTGTCTTGTTTATTGGTTTCTATAAATTCTTATCAACACAACACTGGATTCCCTGGAACAAATGATCTATCTATAGTATAATTCTTGTCTGCTGTGCATTTTCCAGACATACAGACTCAACTGGAGTGTTTATTCCAGTTCCCCTTCTCTCTCATGGGGATTTTTTACATCATTGCAACTCTGTCACCAGAATAGCTACCTGAGCTAATTTCATATTTGGTAGCAAGCTGTATTTTTGACTATTGTCAGCAGAATTTTCTTCAGTGTTGTTGGTGCCTGACTCATAATTTATTTCTTTTGTCCTGTGACAAGTTTCTGATGAGGCGAGGAAAAGCACACGGGTTGTGTTGTGTACTCAATCTAAAAAAAAGAATGAAAAAAAAAACAGTTACCAGGTCAGTTTTGAGAAGAGAACACACACACACACACACACACACACACACACACACACACACACACACACACACACACACACACACACACACACACACACACACACACACACACACACACACACACACACACACACACACACACACACACACACACACACACACACACAGAGACAGACAGACAGACAGACAGACAGACAGACAGACAGACAGACAGACAGACAGACAGACAGACAGACAGACAGACAGACAGGCCCAGCATTCCTTGAAGGAATGGATATTGTCTGCTCCCTTTCATTTAAGATTTCAGGACCAGGACCATCTTGAATAAAGTTAGGGTGTTCAGCAGTTATTTATTAAGACTTTCATCAAAATTCATGCAGTGCTTCCTGATATTTTTGCCAAAGCAAAGGTTTTGAGTAACGTGTAGCATTCAGTGTATGTTTTGTGAGTGACTCCCTGCTAATATCACATAACATTTTAGCTCAAATTTTGTTAGACTTATAGGATAATTTTTTTGTTTGTTTTTCTATGGTCAACTGGCCTTGGCAACCATCCTGAATTGAGTTGACTCCAACAGTTATTCGGTTGTAGATGAGCTTCCAATGATTAAACTCAAACACTTTCATTAAAGTCATTTTGCTCTTTCATGACAGGTTTGTAAAGCGCTACAGAAAAACAGTTGCACAAAGACATACAGGCAAAAACAGTCACCCACCTTTTTGCCATGGGTGATGATTGTTACAACTCCTTTGAGCTGACAAAATAACTAAGCAGCCACTTACAAACAACTGTACTTGTCCTTATCTGTCTGGATGTGCTGCCTTATTCTCAGCATGCTAAATTCTGCTCATTGATACTTTGAGACGAGGTTTGTTTTTTTACCTGTGCATGTCCCAGTTGTTGTGTAGTTAAACACATCCAGGGGTATATTTGTACTGTCACATTCTAACACAGGCCCCATATTTCATTCCAGGCAATTGTCGGCTACTTTGACATTTTCTTTGACAAAGGCTGCAGCAACAAGGTAAGCGGGGGGAGCAACATCCTAGTCATTTAACGGAAACTCAATTATGTTCACGCTTTAGCGTGTTCCTCCTCCCTGAGGCGTTCACTGGCAATCGACGAGCATCTTAGCCAACTGCTGATACAAGCAGTTACCCAGCAAAGCCTGGCCAGTTGGAACAGCTGATGCCAAGCTCTGTGAGCAGCTCAGAAAAAAACCTTTTGATTGAACATCCTATTGTATCTGAGACTCAAGCTGCATCCTGTGGGTGAAGCTGTAAATGATCTCTTCCGCTGGGAGGCTAAAGCTGGAATGAAGAATTGAAATAATAACTTTTTCTTTTAATATTGTACAGGCAATGTTAAAACTGATTTTCATACACAGAACAGTGAATTTACTCAAGTAGAATCAAACGAAACATTGATGTACTAATATGTTTTGTTGATAAGAAACTTCTATTTAGCTTTAGTTTTTGCTCAACATTTATGATAATTGTTCATGCCCCAATTCTTTTAGCAAATTTGCAACTGAGCAAAGTTGTGCTCATAGTGTTTTTAATGTCTCCTTGTTGTGCCAGGTGATGTTTTCCACAGGTCCTCAGGCCACAAAGACTCACTGGAGACAGACAGTCTTTCTCCTAGAGAAACCACTCTCTGTTCAAGCAGGTCAGTAACTTCATCAGTTACCTCCTGGCAAATGCACTGGACAGAAACAACTTAATCCTTTTATTCTTAAGAGTTTCTGTTTCAGTTTGATCCAAGTTTACTTTCTTTCAGTATATTTTACTGTTTTGAGTATTGTGGGATATCATGGAGTGTTCCATCAGGTAATCTGTCTATGGTAGAGGTGCAGTCAGGTTGGTTGACACCTGCTATCTGTCACCCACTGCGACTTTGAGGGATCCAAACAAATCGCATACAGCCATCAGTAGCAGCATGTAAAACTTCATCTGATAGCAGCGTCTGAATCATGACATGTTCCAAAAGAAGTGCCTTGAAACTGACTGGCAATACATTAATAGAACAGCTGCATCAGCTGTTTAAAATGTGGTTTAAGAGATAGTTCAGATTTGTTGAAGTTTCTTTTGAGCAACCTGTAAGCAATCATGAGGTGGAAGGTTTATTTAACGGGTATAAATACATTTTTTTAAACTTATGGGGTTTTCTTAGACTAAACAGAACAGTCAGAACTAATCTCTGTTTCTTCATTTCAAAAGCTATCTATTAGCAGTGCAAATATTAATTGATCATATATAACCATAGATCCTTATCTCAGAAAGTATACATGATCACTGTGAGTAAAGAATTTCTGCATGTTTGTTAGCTAAAAGGCATTAATATTCATTTATATTCTGATTTAGAAAATGACATATTTATTAAAAGGCAGATGCAGAAAGTTTCTGATGAATTTTCACCCACTATCCACCCTGAAGCACACTGAATTGAATTAGTAAGTTTGAAAAATCCAATTCTTAATTCTCAAGTATGTTGTTTGTACACTTGGTTGTAGGGTCTTAGCAAAGATCTGGCAATATGATATATATCACAATACAGAGTGGACGATATGATATACAGTACTGGCCAAAAGTTTGGACACACCTTCTCCTTCAATGTGTTGTCTTTTTTTCATGACTATTTACATTAGGAGATTCTCACTGAAGGCATCAAAACTATGAATGAACACACGTGGAGTTATGTATGTGGAGTGATACGATATATATCACAATACAGGGGGAATGATGATGACTATTGTAATACTAAAAGCCAGATGATATTTGTAATTTTTCAGACTGAATTAAATTCTCCCCCCCCCCCCCCCCCCCCACTCCCCGTGTCCTGTCTGGCTTTGAAGCAAACAAAATTAACGTCTGAATGCTGGTGACAAGCCTAACAGATTTATAATAATAATAATACATTTTATTTGAGGGCACCTTTCTCAAACCCAAGGTCACCTTACAAAGATAAAAACAAAAAACAACAGAGGTTAGAAAGGGCAATAAGAACAAACAAGATACATAAAAATTTGAAACAATTCTAAAGTCTAGGTCTACAGGGAATAAACTTGTTTGAATAAGTGGGTTTTCAGGTGTGCCTTGAATAATGGAAAAGAGTCCATATTTCTAATGGCAGAGGGAAGTGAGTTCCAGAGCCGTGGAGCAGAGCAACTGAAAGGCCACAAAATGTCCACAAAAATAAACAATGATGAACAAAAGTCTGCTTCTAGACCTGCAGAAAGAGAAAAACAAAAAAATAAAATCAACATTGTTTTACTGAACAATCACACGATAATAAATCACAGTGCATTAAGTGCCAACCACAGCCTTAACACGTGTTGAAAATGCCTAAGTCCATACTTATGAGAGCACCATGTGAGCACATCTGTGTGTACACACACTTGTATATGTAAGGTTTCTCAATAGGAGCGTCCAATAGAGAGTATGAGGGGCCACAGATCTGCCCCCAAAGATGTGTAGGAAATGGAGGGAGTTCTAAGTACCAGAGATCCAGGGTATGTCCCAGAGCGCAGGGAGACTGTAACCAGAAAAGCCCCAACCCCCTCTCATGAGGCACAGAGGATTGCCCCGGGGGTCACAACCAGCAGCCTGCAGTCCCGGGAGATATCAGCGGCAAGCCCACAGGCCCAACCGCAGCCTCCTGTCCCCAAGCTGGCCGAGCCCGGAACCCAGCTTCCCGGGACCCAGTGGCAACCACCCCCGCCGGGGACCTAACAGAGCCCAGGGACTCAGATCCCACCAGGCAGCCACCGGGATCAATCAGTGCAGTTTAAATTTGGAAGTGGGCACCGGCACTTGGGATGAGGCTGAAAGATCCCCTTGCCAAATGCAGTTGAATGTGCTCACTCCTAAGGCCCTAAGTGTGTGTTTGTGTGGAATGCCATTGGTGGAAGTGTTTAAGGTGCAAATAAAATTGGGGGGCAGGTTGCCACAGGAATGCGGAAATGGTTCCATACTCACACCCCCTGGCTTGTCCACCCCCCAAGGTCCTATGTGCATGTTTTTGTGATGAGGTGAGGGAGCAGGAGGAGAAAAATGTATGGGGATGGGGAGGAATGGCTGGTTGGCCTAAGCCCTCCAGGGAGCCAGCTCCCCCACTGTACCCGGTAGGCACCTCTTCTCCCAAAATGCCACCCAGGGCATGGAGACTAGGGCCCGACCGGTATATCGGCCAGCCGATCTTATCGGCCGACATTGGGGTCATTAACACTGTCTGCTATCGACCAAAAAAACGGCCGATATGGCCAATATTGCGCTACCTATCCAGCAGATGGCGCCAGCTTTATGAACTCATGTTGTGTGGCTCCACTTCTCGGGGGGTGTAGTTACCGTCACAGCACACATGCAGCGGAGCAGCAGGAGCAATTCAGTCAAGCAGAGACGAGCAGGTAAGTCTTCAGTTTTAAGCATATTTGTTGCGTCTGTGGTAAGTTGAACAGTAAAATAAGCAATGACAAAAGTATGTTTCCCCTCAACATGCTTCCTAAGTTTATTGTGTGCCTCGTGGCCTTGTATTGAAAAGTCACCCTGGAAAAAAAAAACTGCTGCAGCATTTCGCTCTATGCAGAGCTCACGCTGCTTCCCCTTTAGTCATGCAGGGCAGTAAGTAAGTAACAATGGCCTTTTTCTGTTAAGACATTCTGGAATATTCTCAGACAATTTCATCCGCTCTTCTTCAGCAGTCTTTTCAAACTCACACGACCACTGTCGCTGCTGAGGACGGGGGAGGGGGGTGGGGGGGTTGGCAACAAAGCAATGAAGCGCTGTGATAGCAGGGAGTAGGGACCGCCCTCGAGGGGCGGTAATACGACGAGAAAATAAACTTTCCTCTCTACAATAGAATAAATCTATTGTATTTTTTCAGCCTTATATTTTATATAAGGCTTATATAAGTTCACCAAGTTAACTTCCGCAGAGTGTTACTTTGTTACAAAGCACAAGTATTACGTTTTATTTATTGCTGCATTTTTATCATTTTAATATTCTTATAGGGATCTTCTGTCCCTAAACTTGTGTGTGTTGTTAGATTCCCCAGAGTTAGCCAAGTCAGAAAAAACATTTTGTAACCAGTTGTTTTAGCATAAAGAAATGGAAGGGAAGGCTTGCATTCAACTACATAAAAAAACACTACAATGTATGTGAATTCACTTACATTGTTTTATGCTAAACTAAGAAAGCCAACTGCTGCCAGATCATATTGGGCTGGTTATAAATAGTTTTTTCTGACTTGTCTAACTCTGGGGAATCTTAACAAGACACAATTTTACTGAGTGGTGGAATATTCCTTTAAATTGAAATGTATTTGTGGAAACCACAGTTTACAAGAAAAAACGTGAATGTTAGATTTATGCTGTGACTGAGTTTGTGTGTTCTGTTGTTTTTGAGATCTGCTAAATAAATTTTTTTTGCATTACTTGGAAACCCTGGTGAGTTATTGAGAAATAAGTTTGCATCAAAAAGGCAGAGAATGAAGGGTTTAAGCGTAAGACAATTTTTATTTTTTGCGAGGGAGATTTATCAGCCATTTTATCAGCTATCTGCCTTTGTTAAAAGTTTTGTATCGGTATCGGTCCCCAAAAAAGCATATCGGTCGGGCCCTAATGGAGACCCCAGCCCATGAATGTTAAGGTGTCTGCTGCTTTTTATTTATTTATTGTTTCATGTTTAGAAATCTGTGTAAATCTCCATCTAGAGGCTTCCATTACACATCTAGTGTTATTCCGAAACCTTATTGCTCCGTGAAAAATGAAGGACGTAAAAAAATGCTGCCACCTAGCAGTTGGAGATTGAATTGCACCACACAAAAGAAATACAGTAAAAGTTTGAATGTAAAGTCTAAATTATAAGAATCACAGCCAAGACGTATTTCTGACTTACAGTCTGCTCTGCCAACAGATTCTCATTTATTTTATTTCTCATTATCCCTTGAGAACAGAAATATAAGCAGTGCTAGTATACATCTGGGTACTTACTGTTTAAAAGAGTGAATATTGTCATTTTTCAGCCAATTGTGTGAATCTTTCTTTGTAATGTTAAATCTTTTGACAAGAACTGAAAGCGTAGTTTAAAAAGTATTCCCTGGTGTTTATCCCGTGCTCATTCACCATGCACATTGTGTGAATGATCATGTGTACATTCGGCACCCTCTTATTATCACAGTAAATATCCAGTATAAGTCAGCTGATGTGAGGATGGATGGAGCTCAGATCTGGCTGTCCCCTCTCTGATTAGAGATCAGCTGGAGGTTACAGTAACAAATGACCTGCACGGGCAAGGAGGCGGCTGATGTCCGACAGCCTGCGGCCCTGCTTGGCCTCCACCTGCTGCATCTGCTATGATAAGAATGTCAAAACCTCTGACTGCGTAAATGCTACGGTAGGTTCTGTTCTTTGTTTGCTCAGATAAATGTATCAGAGAGCAGAAGACAACTGTGCAATAATATATTATTACAGGGCTGAACAATGCAAAGCAAAATAGCTCTGATCCTGAATGTTAAAGTGTCTGCTGCATTTGTTTGTGTTTAGAAACCGTTGTACACTCCTTTAACCAAAAACATGCTTTACTATGAACTTGGTACGTTTTTAATTGTCTTGTCAATTTAATCATTTAATAATTGATTATTTGATTTTGGACCTGCAACATCTTACAAATGATAAAAACAACATCTAATAAAGAAGTAGAATAGTAATCCTTTAAAAAGCTGTTTACAGCTGATCATAATCATACATTACTAATAAGTTTGTTCACTCTTTTGGAAGCAAAAACAAGCTGAGGTTTTCCAGCTGGCTTAATTATATGTGAGGATATTATTTTTATGTTTTAAAGTAATATCACGTAGAATAACCTCAGAATGGATTTGTATGTACGTTTCTGTCTCTTTGCTGCAGAATATAAAAACGTATTTAAGGGCTCCAGGAAGTTTTTGACAAGCACAAAATACCATTAGATTAAGCAGTCTCCACTTGTTAGGGTCAAAATAAATGTAAGAATTTAAAGTTTTTCTTGAGTACTTTTGCTTTCTTTCATTGCATTTACATGAGTGAAGGATACTAAATTGGACTTCTGTCATGGGTGTGGGCCATAGGTATAAATCTGGATCAGGGAATTGAACCCAAAAGGGAAACTCCTAAACAGAAATGCACCCCCTAGCTGGTTTCAGTAATGGTTTCATGTCCAGCCCCCGCTATGCAAATAGTTTAGGGCCTTGTTTGGATTAAATCGTGTAAATACATCTCACTTCCATATGTTGACTCTTATTGATTCACACGGTTACGTTGTTGCTGCATGTAGAAGTATTTATAAATGTGTTGTATTGTAATTAGTTCTTTTGAGAATTAAAAAACACTCTGATTGTGTACAGACAGTGTAGGGCCCACACCCCAGCTACTACAATAGAACATGACTGTTTCTCTAAACTACATGATTCATTTTTCAATACTAATAAAGGTGGAAATGCTCAGTCTATTTTTCAACATGTCTATGGTGGGGACCAAAATATAGTTCTAATTAATGCAAAGGAAATTTAACGGATCAAGATTTGTTTTGGGGGTAATTTTTATGAATCATGGTAAGGGTTGAAGTGACAAAGAGAAAACATTTTATTGACTCAATATTTAGGACATTCAGCTCTAAATCCTGTTGCATAAACTTGACCCACAGCAGTTTTATTCAACAGCCTGAAAGAGCCTAATGGGCGCTGGCCAGTCATTGCACGACACCCTCAAAGGTCTTTTGTCAACGTTAGGGCTAAGTACTATGTGTCCTGTATCCTCCTCACCTCACCGAACACTTCTCCCAAGCCAAAATTAGGATTTAATTTTCATTTGAAGACAAGACATATTAAAAACACATGTGTAGATTGCCATGAGGTGCACACATTAGTGTTCTCCAAAGAGAAAACAACCCTCTTGGGTATAATATGTGAGTGGAATAATTCAATCACACACACACACACACACACACACACACACACAATTCTGAGTGCTTAAAGATGGGACAAAAGTACAAAAAAGAATCCCAGTACAGATCCAGAGTGATCTTGGATGAGATCAGTCTAACGTGAATCCAGTCAATGAAGGCGTGTTGGGGTGTGTTGAGTACATGAACCACACAGAATGAACAGAACTCTTTGGAAGAACAGAAAAATTACGGTTGAAGTGAGTGGCAGATTATTGATGTGCTCGGAGTACCACAGCACTCTTAACACTCCTCAGCCTCCTCCGGGGGCTGTAAACCAGAAATAGAGTTTTTAACTGCATTCGTTGGCTGCCTGCTAGGTTCTTATTGTGTACTTTACAACACTCAAACTGCTTGACAAAAGTTCCATAAACTACCCATCTTGCTGCAGGAGAAAACTTTCTTAAGTCACCTTGAAGATGACAGTACTCTGTCAGCCTCTCGTTTTGGGAGTTGACTGAGAAGCACCTTTGAGATTAAAGGCTGAGTATAAACAGCCACTGGTTTGCTATAATATTCACTTTTGCTGTTCTGATTTATTTTGACAGAGACCAAATCTTATTAGGTGTGCTAACTTGAGTGGAGCAGTAATTAACTCTTAGCTTGGCTTTTGTGGGAGGTGCTGGTAGAAGAGAGAGAACACGGGCAGCAGCCTAGAACAAAACATCCCTGCAAATTCTCCCAGCTGGCAGCGTAATAAATTAAACAGCAAATCATTTGTCATGCTCTGGTGTGTTTGTGTAGCTCTAGTATTGAAGAGGAGGGTATTTTATTTATTAATTTAACATTTTTACCTGCTTACTGTTAACTGGATAACAAATTGCTTTTTGTGCAAGAAAGTCTCATTATGCTCAAGGTGAGACATTGTCCTGGTTACCTGCTCTTAGAGAAGCTGAAGTATGGGCATGAGTTCTTATCCAGCTTTTATTGGCCAGTCAGGTGGTCTTTGTGCATTTCTTCTTTTATGACTAACCTTTTCTGTCCTGACCGGAGCTGGATATCCTCCATATTGTCTCCTACCCCCACCCTTGTTTGTTCATACACAGTCTAAACACAGCTTTGCATCCCCTCATCCTCCCTCTTCTTGTTTAAACTCTGAAGACCCTTGAACTGTCACATAGAAGTTCCTCGTGGCTGTTACTGGCAAGCCCTCCTATATATGGAACTATTTGGTCTGGCCACGGGCCATAGAAACCACCCAGTTGTGCGGCAGACTACGGTTGTCGTTCAAGCTGTCTCCACACACAACTGGACAGTGCTAGGACCAATCAAAGCAACAAACAACGTGACATATTCAGCGCTACAGAAATCCGTCAGTGGAGCAGTCTGCCACACAACATCAAAGAAGAAGCAAAACATAATTAAATTACTCAACTACCTCCAGCGGCTCAAGGCCCAAGTTTAAATCTTTCAAAGTTGATGCCAAAGCCATTTCAAATGACAATGCCATCTTTGTAGTATTTCTTTGTCGACACTAAATGGTAAACAGGCTGTATCTGTATAGTGCCTTCTAGGATTCTACAACCCTCCAAGGCACTCCTCAGCACAATCCAGTACATACACATTCACACACTGGTGGTGATGAGCACAACAAATATAGAGCACTTTGATTGGCAAGACACAAAATAGGCTACAATGGAGCGCGGCTGTACCGACCATCAGAGCAACATTAGTTGCTACTGCAGCGGTTGGTCTAGATTTCTAGGCTGGTGTTAATCTACAATGCCTCGACTTTAAACTGGCTTTGCAGAAAAGAGGAAAGATCTAAGAAATAGGAAAATGTTGAATTTAAGTAGATTACAGTGATGGTGAATGTGGCTGATGTCATTTACTCTTTGATGGAAGAATATTTGTTTGTGTTTGAAGTTCAGTTAAGGATTCCTTCTATAAATCATATTCACAGTTTTAATTAATAACAAATCATACAGTCTCTTTCCTCAGTTGTGCGTGCATTTCCTACCCTTTCAGGTATATAGTAATACCCCTCCAAGCCAAAACATCAAGTGAAGTTACTCTCACTGTGTAGTTACAGTAGAAATATGAGCAAAGTGGATCAAATGGTCTCTGTTCGTAGCCATGTATTCCAGTTGTAATTTCATGGAGGAAAGCTGTGTTTGGCTGGGACAATCTGTTTCCATGGGCCCGCTTGTGCGTAATGACACCGACATGGTGATGTACGACATTGCAGTAAAAGCTCGGCTCCATTCCACCACTCATTTCCACACATGGTTAACTCGTTCTCCCAGCTTCAAAGTGGCCAGTTTACTGAAGGCGCCGAGGCCCCTCTTCCATGGGGAGTTCAGTTTGACTGATTACAGCAGAGCTGCCGTAGTTGCACTGTAACTCTACACACACTCCATCAATGATTGTTTGTATGCTTCAACAGTTCAATCTGAAACACAAGGGATTAGCTGGACACCTAATTGCAATGTTTTTCAGGGCAAAGGTATGTTCTGCCTTATTTTTTATTTTATTTTTTTGCCAGAGCAAAGGTCAGACATTTATTTCATTGGCCTTTATCGTGTTTTTGCCAACTACAGTTTGGCATTTGCCCCTATGAGCTCCAAACTGATGCCCTTACCAAGGTTTTTGCTGTTGCAACAGTACGCCTACTGATGTTATTGCAATGCTTTTTTTTTTTAAATTAAAAACAACTACAGTGTTATAGATTAATTTTCTTATATATCAGATTTTTTCTTGGTGAGAATTCAGCAAAATTAGTAAAACGAATATACTACGCATGAATCTATGCAATACATTGGAAGAAACTTGCATGAGTAAGTCAACCTTTTTTTTTTTGGTCTCAGTGTTTCCACAACAATGTTGACTGCCTACCAATGTTAAAGCTCTCTCATTCACTTGTTTGTATAAACACATTTGCAGTGGTCTCTAATGTAAATAAATACCTTGTGAGTCGGTCTCTGCGGGGAAAAAAGCTTAGCCAGAGGGCTATGGGGAAGTCTTACTTTTTTATTAGGGCCAGGACTTTAAGATGTTAATTACGATTAATTAATTAGAAAAAAAGAACGCGTTAAAAAAATTTACGCATTTAATTGCCGCTTGCATTTCAAGCACGGCGGAACCTTTGTCATTGCACGATTTCCTCGTAGACTGATTATCACTGACACACACAACAATGCACAGTGCTAATGGCTACTAAAACGGAATAAAAACAGAAAGAAGTTGCCTTGCTTGGACTGATGCAGGATTTAGGAAACACCTCCGCCTCTTTTCTTAACTTGGAAAAAAAAAACTTCCAGACAACAACGTGTCTGTGCCGCGGACATTTTTCAGAGATCGTCTCTGCTGCGGCTGCCCGGTGGCAACGGGAACTTTACAAAAGTTGCGGTAAGCTATATTTTTAACATTTACGTAACATCTGTGCAGCGCTGAAAGCACCAGACAGAATAATTCTATGC